GAAGAAGAAAGAAAACAAAAAGAAGAAGAAGAAAGGATCAAGAGAGAAGAAGAATATAAGAAACAACAAGAAGAAATTGCAAGAAAAGTAAATGAAGAAAGGTTGCGAATTGAAAAAGAAAAGAAACGTATTGAAGAAGAAAGAATCAAAGAAAATGAATTAAAAAAAGAAGAAGAAGAACGAAAAAGAATAGAAGAAGAAGAAAGAAAAAGACGAGAAGAAGAAGAAGAAAAAATAAAGAAAGAAGAAGAGAAAAAACGATTAGTAGAAGAACAAAAGAGATTAGAAGAACAGAAGAAAAGGGTTGAAGAAGAACTACGCCAAAAAGAAGAAGAACAAAGAAAGAAAGAAGAAGAAATACAAAGAAAAGAAGAAGAAAGAGCTAAAGTTGCTGAAGAAGAAAAGAGACAGATTGAGGAAGAAAGGAATAAAAGAGAGGTTGAAGAAAAGAAGAGAAAGGCATTAGAAGAAGAGGAGTTAAAGAAAAAAGAAGAAGAAGAAAAACAAAGAAGAGAAGAGTTTGAAAGAAGAAGAAAAGAAGCAGAAGAAGAAAGACTTAAAAAAGCCAAAGAAGATCTAGAAAGATATCAAAAAGAAAAAGCTGAAAGACTAAAAAGAAAACAAAAAGTAAGTGTTGGAAATCTTGTATATATTCCTTCAGTCACTGAAAATAAAGTTAGATCTCCTATTGGGTCTCCTAGACTCTCAGACGTTGTTAAACAAAAAATAGATGAAAAGGATAACCTTGTTGACCCATCAATCGTCAATCATAATATACAACCAAGAAGAAGAAAAGTTGTTACTGAAAGAAATGATAAAACTTTAATCGAAGTCAAGAAAACACCTCAACAACATTTAAAAGAAAGTTTAAATCCATCCAAGTCAACGAATTGTATTATTTCTGCCCCATCAAGTGTTTCTTCAACACCAACTATATCACCAATCTCAACACCATCAAAGTCTAAAGAAGAAACTCCAAGAAAACATACAATCAATTCATTTACATCAGAAAGTATATCTGAGACACCTAAACATTCACTCAAACAATCTAAAATAGAGAAACATAAAAGTCTTAGGTCATCAAAAACAATTTCTTTCTCCAAAAAAGATAAGAAAAAAGACAAAAAAGAAATAGATGATTTAGTTCCAGAGACGGTAGATGGAGAAGAAGTTCAACTTGAACGAGAGGCAGTTACAGGAAGAAAGAGAAACAAGAAAGAAAGAAACAAGAAAGCAAAAGGAGGGGATTGTGTTTTGCTTTAAATAAAGAATTTATTCATTTATTATTATAATTTTTTTTCTTTCTTTTTCATAAAACAATTTTTTATGTATGAAATACTAACAAACAATAAGAAAGTATAAAAGGATAAGTGAAATTTTTATTCACACGAGGAAATAAGACAACGGAAACATAAATTTAAGTTATGTTGTTTAGTCTATGTTTTAATACAAGAAATAATATTTGAAAAAAACAAGAAAAACTATTATTTCAAGTCTATTAAATAGAAAAGAACAAATTTTATCCAAAATCATAAATGAAAGTAGAAAGATGAAAAAGCCGTTGTAATAAACTATTTAAGATTCATAAAATACTATAAAAAGGTACAAACTTTTTTTATTCCATAAACTATTTTTAGTGCAACGGACAATCATTGAAAATGAATTTTTTACTAATTGGACAGAATATATCTTATATCATTCATTTCTGAATTCCATTTTGTTTAAAGAATCATCGATGGTTATTTCTATTCACGCAAATAGTGATTAAACTAGTTAAATTTGATTCTTTCTTTATGCGTTGGGTCATTTTTGACAAGAAACCCTTATTGTTTAGAGAATTTAAAGCTATTTAAAGCAAAAAATGTCATCATATGTTGTATATTTCGTGTTTTTTTATTCTGGAATAGTTCTGTTAATATAGGTAGAATTGTTTATGAGAAAAGTTCCTCAGTTTTTATTAAATTTTCAATAAATAAAATACATTCAAAAGAAAATAACATCGTATTTTATCAATTTATCTTTAAAAATTTTACATAATAGATTCGTTTTGAAGCTTTTAGAAAGTACATTTAGCTTTGACTTATTTTTTTAAACACATATGAAGATAGTACTTGTTGGAGTTTCATTCCTGCTATCGTATTTTTAGAATTCAGGAAAGAGAATAGAATTTAAAAAGGAATTCAAAGATCCTTATTGAATCGAATGAGTGTGGCAAATAACTTATGTTCATCATTATCAAATAGTGCTAAAGATATTGACTCTTTTTCAATGAAACCATTTAGGTCTTTATCTTCAAGAGAAGGAATTATTACTACAACACGATTAAATAGTTTAGTTTCTCCGCCACCAAGATCACAAATCACTATTACTCCAAGAAAGTCACCTGAACAATTTTTAAGGTCAAGTCTATTTGATGAAAGTCCTTCATTATTATTTTGTTATTGTGATAAAGTTCGTAGTATTAACTTTTCTGATAATTATATTAAATAGATTCTTGCAAAATAAAACTAACTCAAATAGCTTCTCAAAAGAGATTCAAGTTCATTCAAAATTAATTCTTTATTAAATTTTTATGCATCTCGTGGTAAAGTAACATTTTTATTTACAAAACTTGGAGAAAAAGAAATATCTTCAACTAAAACAGGAACACCTCTTTTAAAAGGGAATACACCTTTTATTAGATTATATCAATCATATGTATTAAATTGGTGTAATCGATACTTAGATGAAATGGTAAAAGAAATAGAAAAATTGAAAGTAATTACTGGAACTTTAGACGATGTTGATATCAATCAAGATAAAAATAGAGAATTTATGAAAAATTTTGGAAAGTCTCTTGTTAAGAATCTATTATACTTAACTTCTCATCAAAGAAGAATTATTAAAGAACTATGTTCTTATAGAGCTATTTCTCATGATCAACAAATAATCAAACAAGTATTTTCTTCATTATTTTTCCTAAGGTATTGTTTTCTTCCTTTGGTTAAATATCCTTCTTTATTAAAGATACTTCAAAAAGGAGTTTCTGAATGGATTTTTGAAAGAACAACATTTCATAGAATACCAGAAGACCCTATGCTTAATTTAAAAAATGTTCTTGATACTATCTTTGAATTTATTATGGAATATCCTAATAGTCTTGAAGTAGGAATGATAAACAAAGATAAACAAGAAGAGTCTTTGTGTAACTTGCTTTTAATTCTAAAAGATAATTTAAATATATTAAGTGCTTATTATGCTGATGGATTTGGAGAAATATTTTCTCTTGTGAAAGGAAATCAATACATAGGCACTCCAACAAGTATGTCATATGCTTTAGATGAAATAAAAGAATGGACAGTAACTAAGTTAGAGACAATGGCTCAATTGAACTTTGAACTTAAAATGAAAGTCCAACAAATGAGAGAAATAAATGAGAAAATCAAGCAAAGAATTGTCTTGACTTCATCACTTTTTTCTCAATAAATTGTTTGTATCTCAATCTCTTTATTTTTATATGTTTTTTTTTTAATAAAAAACAAAACAAAGAAATATCTCAAATGAATGAAGAAAATTAATAAAAAAAACATGTTTCACAATAATGAAGATTGTTCATCAAAGTCCATTTCTTCAAAGACATTTGAACTTTGAACAATTCGTTCACTAGAATTTATTTCTAATGGAGTTTCAATTGAATTATCAAAATCCCAAGATTGGTCATCAAATGAATTTATACTACTTGTTTTTCCATAAAGTGCATTGTTTTGATAAGAAAAGGTAAGATGAGAACATGGAGTTTTAACTTTTCTTTGTCTAAGATCTATTAGAGACTTATTTAAAGAAATTAAAATGATACATAATAATAAACAAACTTAGAAGACATTAATTTAGAAGGAGGTGGTTGAAGTTGAAGAGAATATTTAGGAGTTAAAACATGACTTTTTTGTTGTATTGGAATTATTTTATGATCTTCTATAGGATTTGTGAATAATGTAGTACAAATAGTAGTTTGAGTCATATTAGACTTATTAATTTTATCAGCTAAAAGAAGTACCAAATCATTAAATTTTCTAGACACAATATCAACTTCATCAATTTGTTTTTGGTCATATTTATCATTATCTTTATACTTAACAATACAAGATTGTATTTTACTATTTAATTTACTTGAATGTTCATATAATTTTTGAAGATTATGACGTTGATTATCTTCAAGATATTCTTGTATTTTTCTTGTAAAATGTTCCATTGAAGGAATTAATGAAGTTATTTCTGATGGAAGGTCATAGAATTTCTTTGGTTTATGTGATGAAATAGTAATAATTCCTTCATTAACATATTTTAAATAAAGAACATTATATTCTCTTAGTTCATTAGGATATTCATCAGACCATTCTTCTAACATTTCTCTTATTTGTTTTTGAATTCTTTGATTCTAAAAATGAAATTAGATTTTCCATTTAATAATAATTAAAAAAACAAACTTTCCTCTTTCCTAATATTTCTATAGATGCTATAAAATCAATATCTGCAACTTGTGCCCTAAATGATGATTGTCTTTTAACAACATATTGTGTCAAATATAAACAATTTAATACTTCATTTTCTGATATTATTTTATTAAAATATGATTTAAATTTATTTACAAGTTGAATTCTTAATGCACGTGGTGCTCCTGGTACTTTTGAAATAACGTATGAAACACTTCTCATTTGTTCTTCTAATGGAGGACATTGACTTTCATGAACAGAATAATTAACTATATCACTCAGTGATATTGACATTTATTATTACAATTTTATTGATTTTAAGTTCATTTTGTTCCAATAAAATACTTTAGAAGATTCTTTCCTTCAAAATGGTTAAATATTAGATTATAACTTCAAATTAATAATCTCATAAATTATTTTCACTGAGTCTTGAAAATTTTTAGTCATAACGTTCATTCGTATTGTTTTTTATTTTTATAAAAAATAATAACAAAAAAATATTTGTTATTTTAATTTGTTTTAAAAAAATGTTATTAAAAATATTCTATTAAAATATTATTTATTATTAT